GGAGCCAGCCAGAGAACAGCCACGAAATCTTGAATGACAACCCAGCACAATCTCCAACAGAAAGGTTATTCGAGGCAGCTGTTGGCAGATTATTTGTGTGCAGCAATTTCACACCCCCAGACTTTAATGTGTTCTCAGTCTGCCACCTCCCCCAGAGGCTCCCCATTAGCAGGGTTGCCACGTCTTGGTGAATGTTTTACATTTCCCGTGGCCTCGCACTGGGTCTGAGCACAAATCAAACTTCCTCATTCCAGGAGTCGTGGTCAGTCAGTCCTGGTGGACCCTCCAATGGCTTAGCTGGGATCACCTGCTGGGCTGGCTATACCAGGGACCTCAGTGGCAGCAAGATTCCAGAGTACCTCTGCCTGATCGCTCTGAACTCACCAATTAGATACAACTGCTTACAGGAATCTTTGTGGATGATGCTCCGGACCCCAGTAAAGGCTGCTCTCCCAGGTCCCCTCTACTGGCTGAGACTTGTGTCCAGAGACTTCCCCCTGTGAGGCATGCCGCCCTCTTCACTCTAGATCCGTGTGGGCAACAAACTGCCTCAGTCATGTCGTAAGCTTTGCTACGCTGCCACCTCTGTGTCTCACCTGGTCACACACCTGAGCCCTTACCAGTCTGGGATCTCTTAGAGAAAGGCCCACCTTGTAGGAATCTACTGGACACAGATCGAATAAGAGCAATAGAGGCAGCTGCCAGTAAGAATGGGGGCCCTGGAGGGGGACACCTGGTCACCACCAGACACGCAAGAACTGGGCCGTTTGCCAGGATAAAGACCAATCCCAAGAAAGGAATGCACTGAGCATCCATTCCACCCTGAGGCCCTGCCAAGGAGGGAAACAACTTCCAGTCACTGTCCAGAAGGAGATGGCGTGTCACCGGGGAGGTCTTTTCTATTCTACCTGCTCATACTTATGAATATCCTCCTCCCCCAGAGAACCTCAAACCATCACCATCTGGGGTGAGTCTCTCAATGGCATGAGTAACCCGTGGCTGTCCCTGGGGCCTCAGCTGTGCTTTGCTCTACCCAAGGATCAGGCTGATTGTGACCGAGGCAGGTGGCATCTATCTACCTGTTCAGGGTCTGGTGGACTTCCTGGTCTCAGGAGAGTGGGCTTCAGCAGGTTCTTTTTCTTCTTCACTCCAGGGACCGCTGCATTATCAGTGACCACCACAGGCCTGGATTTCTCAGTGTTTCCTCTGAGCCTGAGCAAAGGCACAAGAGGCAGTGAAGCAGAGTTTAGGGCCCTCCCTCCCATTTGAAATTGGGAACAGCTTCCTCATGCTAAGAGTAGAGGCTGGGGAGACTGTGACCCCCAACACTGACAGGCACCAGGGAAGCTGGGGGGAGTTTGCCCCCTCTGACCTCACATTTTCCACCATTTCTCTCACTAACTGGCTGCTGTCTCCCCCAACCCTCACCACCTCCTCTCTTTTAAAGTTGTACTAATTTGCAGGGATTTCAGAGATGGGATTTTTGAAACAATTAAGTTTCTTTCACCTTCCTTCAGACTTTGAAAACTATTTTCCTACCAATTTGACTCTGAACATCCCTGGATCAGAGTGCATTATGGAGACATCACGTGCTGCATGGAAGCAGCAAGGCCACTTCAGAAAGGGCCCAATCCCACACTCTTGTCCTCAAATGCCTACTTGTGGAAACCTCCAACTTAGGTGGGTAAGTACGTGATAAGAGCTTGGTGGACCCAAGGATGTGGCACAAATCCAACGGACAGCAAAGCTCTTTGGGAGCCAACAGGATTGGTCTCCCTAGGCACCCTCTGCCCAACTCTGAGGCTTCTCTTGGTGGTGACCAGTGCCCTGAAACAGTCGTGTGGTCACACAACTCAGGACACAAAGCCACTGAAACGTGAGCTCCACAGGGTGAAATGTGTGGTCTATAAACTGGAGTTCCAGAAAGCTGTGTAGATAAATAGATGCAAGGAAAATGGAGAAGGTAAAGACAAGAATCAGTGAGCAAGTACAGATGCTGGGTGTTGGAGGTTGTGGAAGCACTGGCGTCACCTCTGTTCCCTGAGCCCTGGAACTTCCAGGTGTTCATCTGCAGAGTACAGGTCCTATGGGTCCCCACCCTGGCCCAGGGCGGAGACCCAGAAGATGGTGGAGCTGGGACCCAGCACTGCCTGATAAGCAGGAACATCACACATGCCTGTGCTTCATCTAGTTGTTAATAAATCATTAAGGTCTATGGATCATTGCCACAGTGAGTAAAGGACAAAGTCAGCAGAGGTCAAGGACTCCTTAGCTGCCAGAAAGGGGAGAGCAGAGCAGAAATTCCATGGTGTCTGAAGGGAATTAAGAACCATATTCTCGGAAGTCCCATGAGGCCCAGCTAGCAGCTCAAAGGGATAGTGGATACCTTCTCCCCAAAACTGCAGGCGGGAGCCCCAACAGGCAGGAGCCCCTGCCCACTGCCTCTCCAAGCGGAGGGAAAGTGAGATCCACCTACGCTGCTGCTGCGTCTAGACTAGGGAGGAGGGGAGGAAGTGGAACTCGCTGGAGAGTTTCCAAGGCCCTTGGGTGAGTCACCAGACAATTTCTCAATTTTCTCAACTCTACTATGTGTCAGTGTCACTCCTAGCCTCAGCACGCTACAGACAAAGGGACAGCGCTGAGAACCCCCGCTAGGCAGGGACTGCAGCTGTGGACTCCCTGCGAGAAATAGCAAGTCTGGTGGTCCATTTTCAGAATATGGCCTTAACTGGATCCAATTGTAGCCATGTTAATTATGCTCTTCCCTTTGCCTGCCACAGTTTTAAAATTAGCTAATCACGTAGAATGTGCCGGGAGCTCCTCCAGTCAGAGCAAAGGACAGCACTGCATTAGGGATAAAAGCAAGTGGACTGCCTTTCTTGTCATGCTGCGGTGGCCAGAGGTGGGGTCAGGCATGTGCATCACACAAGCCCCACCTGGGGTTGGCCAACAGCAAAGCAATGGCAGTCCTTGTCACAATAAGGGGTGGCAGCTGATACAGCACCCCTAGTTCCACATTAGGAGGTTGGCGGATGTGCAGGATCCCAGCACAGTGCCAGTGCTGAACAGGCTTTTTGTTAGGGAGGCTCTCTGGGTTGAGGGCAAGCCCCTGCCTCCCTGCCTGGCCTCCTAGTTGAGTGGCCTTGTGACCTTCCAGTCACATACACCACAGCCACCTCCTTCCTTGTCCCAGGCTTTGTACCCTAGGAAGCTTTGTTCACACCCTCAAGGACCAGCCATGGTGTAAGTCCTGGGATCTTGGTCCCTGCAGGGTGCAGCAAGCTGGAAAAGGACCCACCATGACAGCCTCATAAAACTCGCCCAGACAGCATCCCCGGGTGACCCCAGGCCTCTGTGGAGTGGGCAAGAGCCTCCCCTCCTGGCTCTGGACCCGCTCTGGCCTCTGCTCTGTGCTGGCTCTGGAAACACCCTGTGGCTTCAGTGATTACTCACCAGTGTCCCTGCTTCCTGTGCTGCGGGCTAGCTGGTATCCTTTTTGTTGGTTCTTTATATATTTTTAAAATTTCAAGTGTTTGAACAGGAAGGGGAGGGAACAGCATGGAACACCACGAGGCAGTGACTCTGCCGTGGCTTAGATGTCATCTGAGTGTCTCCAGAATCCCTGTGATCAAATCTAATCCCCACTATGAGGTGTGACAAGGTAGAAACTCAGTTTAACTATTTGGAGGTGGGCCTTTAGGAGGTGGTTAGAATTCAGGAAGGTCATCAGGTAGAACCCCCATGACTGAATCCTAGTGGACTATGAAGAGGGAGAGACCAGAAGACACACATGTGCACCCACAGACAAATACACACATGCATACACATATGTGAGGACACACAAGTACACATGCATGGGGGCACACGTGCACATACATGATAGCATATATATGTATGCATGCACATGTGCATCCAGGCACACCTGTGTGCAGCTATATGTGGACACACATGTACACACATACATGAGAACACACACACACACATCCTGCCTCTTGTCATGTGATGCCCTGGCCCACTTTGGACTCTGCTCACAAGGATGCGGTCACCATACACCCCTCAACCTTGGACCTCCAGAATCATAATAAGCCAAATTAAACCACTTTTTTGTGAAAACTCACTCAGCCTCTGATACTGTGTTTTTGGCAACAGAAAACCAACTCCCCATAGCAGAGGGAGCCTTAAGAACAACTGAGCCCCAAACTCTGTCTCTGTAGGGTCTGACACTCAGGTGAAACTCTGGTACAAGTTTCCTCCACTCAGGTGACCAAACTTGGCTCCACAGCCAGTGGGGAGGGTTCTCTGCTCAAAGAAGGGAGAGCTCTGAGCAGCCAGCTCTTGCTCATCTCAGGATGATGGAGGCCCAGAGTTTCTTCTTTGGTTTCATCTAGAACAGAGACAAGCCACACGAGACCCTAGCAGGGCACTGCTCCCTGGCCCAGGTGGCAAAGTCCCAGAACCCCACCCCCCAGGGAACCATTTCTGGGCAGGTCCACCCCATGGCCACCACCTTGGTTAAAGGTTTTCCTTCCTGTCAGACATCCAATTGCCAGGGGTTGTCCCCTGAAGGCCTAGATCTGCCCACAGGACTGGAGCTGAATGCGGAATTGTAAATGTCTTGGTGGAGCCCCCACTGTGCCTTTTCTCCAAGGACTTTCAGACACATGGGAAAAATGTTATGAAGTCAAGTGCACATGCTCTCTTCTCTGCACAAACCAGCAAACAGGTGATCATCCCAGTACTGTGCCCCTGCAGTGGGTGGCAACACATGCCCGTGAGCCCACGGGGCTGCTCCATCTGCTGCCCAAGTCCTCCACTATGTCACGCACTAAGCTTGTTAACTTTTCCACGTGTAATGCTGGATGTACATCCCACTGCTAGGGCTTGGTGAGTGTTCCCAAAACAAATGCTCTGTAGGGAGGCTGGGGCTGCAATTTCAGGGAAGTGGGAGCAAGAGGAAGGGCAGTGGAAAGGCAAGAAAGGAGAATAAACACAGTGATGGCTTATTTTTATTTTGCTTTGTTTTATTCTTCTGAGCTGGCCACAGACTATAAATAAACAGCTAGATGGAGGCTCGTGAAGGGTTTCAGGAGGCCACTGCCTTTCGTGGAGATGATAGGAGGGCAGGCAAATTTCTGCCAGCCTCTTTCCGTTGGCCAAGATCCCTCCAGCCACCAGCCTGTGCCTTAAGAGGGCTGAGATCTAAGGAATGAGAGCAGACTCTGAGCCTATATGGCAACGACTAGGGAGAAACCACCCCAACTGGTCCTTGCCTAGATGCTGGGGGTCACACTGAGTGAGTGCAACAGCAGATAGTGACATTCAGGCTGCAACTTCTGCCTGATCTGGGTCAGCTGACCCCACACCTCTGCTTGGTCTAGGTGCCAAACATGGCACCTCTGGACACCATGGCTTGTGATTTTCCTACCTCAGCCTCCCAAGCCACTAGAATTGCAAGCATGTGCCACCACCCCTAGATACTCATGTCATTCTTGCACCAACTTTCATGTCACCCTGGCACCAACCCTCACACCAGGATCTCCACCAGATGAGGTGCAACCCACTTCCACACTCCAGTCTCCAGATTCCACTCCCAGAAAGCTGCTCACCAGTGACCAGAGTAAGAATCCAAGAGTGAGGGTAGGAACTGGATGGACCAAAGTAAATAATGTCATGCCTTGTACACTGTCATGCTATGAATTCATAAAGATGATGAAGAAAGAAAATACCTCCCACAGACCAAGATATCCAGATTTGTTTTGTTTTTTAATATAAATTACAAGACAAAGTACACTGTGTGATTCCATTTTTGAAAGAAAAAAAGAAAGCATTCCTGTGTGAGTAAAGAACCTGCCCAAAGTGGTGACGGCTCAGCCCTTGGATGCCATCCTGGAGCACGGTGTCTGCCTGGGCCTCTGGACCACACCAGGAAATCTAACACATGACTCAGGGTGTGGCTGTGAGTGCCAAAGGTTCAGCTCCACCTCCAGAAGGGCTGGGGCAAGCTGGTGCCCCAACATAGGTGCTAGACAGCAAGACTCCTGTTGTACACTGATGCTGGTAAAGTGGTGCCATCCACAGAGAGGACAACCAGAAGTTCCCTGATGGAACCCTGTCATGTTCTGCCCTAAGAGCCTTTCCCTTGGTTGACTTTAACCTGTGTCTTTAACCAAGTCCTTCTACCTCATTACCACACCAAAAGGTACCACACCAAAAGGTACCACACAGATGCGTCCCTACCTTGCAAACAGAGGCAGATGAGAGGCAACTCTGTAGCCATCATCCCTTCCAACCTTGCAACCACCCAACCTTATGTACCTGAAAGTGTTATTCAGAGACTGGAAACTGTGGCAGAATGCTAGAAGTGATACCTCTGTTGTGTTCTTATGTATACACCAACTTGCAAAGTTTGGGTCTCCAAGAGCTCAACACAAGCAAGTCAGGCTGGCTAGCCACATGCTTCTCCTGTGGATTCCATTGGTCAAGATGTAATCAAATGAGAGGCAGGTATGTCTGCTCCCAGACCTGTCCATGCCACCTGTCATTTTTCCTGTGGACAGGAACTTTGTGCAAGCCAGTCACATGTCAGTCTCAAGGTAAAGGCAAGATGGTTTTGGGAAAGCCAAGATAAAAGATATGGGACATCAAGGTAAGAGCAAATTAAGTTGCTTTAAAATTTGCTCTAGAGTAAGGGTTTCTCTGGTTAGAATTGTAGCTGAAGTACAGACTGTGTAAATATCCTGGAGAATTGCCCAAAATAGAGAAATTGCCCAACCTTCAGAACCCTGAGGCAGAGAAAGCAACGATTTCTCTGCTCCTCCAGCTGCTGCTTCCAGAGGAGGGGCTTCCTGGACCCATAGGTGTCAACATCCCCAGAATTTCCACAGGACCTCCAGGGATGTGCTACTGGAAGAGTAGACTCTTCCAGTCAATGTCCAATACAGGGCTCTCAACTACAGCATCTTGCAGCCTACACCTAGTGACCAGGGCCAGTCTCGTTTCCTTTTCCAGACATGCAGGCCTCCACCATCTGCAGGTGGTCCCAGCCTTCCCTAGAGAAATCCCAAGATCAGAGGGCAGAGGGCAGCAGGGAACAGAAGCCTGGGGCCCATTATCTGAAAGCCACTGTCACCTCCTCCTTCACCTGGGAAGGGTCACCTGGCATCTTTTCCAAACAGTACACTCCAGAACATTTCTCCCTGTGTTCCCATACCACCTACTTCTCTGCCCACCCTATTTGAACTGACTCTTTGAGAGTTTGGTTTGAGAATTTCATCAAGTTCTTGAAGGAACATGGAGCTCCTCAGCTGCTACATTCCCACCTGGTAGCCTGTTGGCTTGAGAGGTGAGAAGCTGTTGGGCAAGGCCGCCTCATAGGTGGGAGACTGTAGGGTAGAAGTGAGAAGAAGCCAGCCAAGAAATATATATATTTCTATACACACACAGAGAGATATGTATATATATATATAGTTCTGCTGCACCAAAGATATATATGGTGCAGCAGATTCTGATCTCCCCAACCCACCCCAGAAACATGCTCAAAGCCCTACAAACGTCAGAAAATGAAAGGAAAAAAAAAAAACAGGATAAACTCAAATCAAAATGAGATTAAAATGTTAACACCTACCACTGTGTGAAGCTGGTTTGCAGCTTTGCTTGTAGCTACAGCCTCAGCCTGTCTTCAAGCCTCTCCCTGACCTGTGTGTGTAAGTGGCTCACTCTTCAATTTCTTGCTTTCTTCCTAGTGTGTCTAGCAGGATCTGAGATGACAACGTGAATCTGTTTAATTCACTTACTGAGTCGCCCCTAAAATACAAGCTGCCAAAGGGAAAAGTCAGCCTGTTCTGTCATAAGCACCCTACAAGAGTCTACCCTTGAGGCCAGAGGAGGCTCTTCCCTGCTTACCCCCCCCTGCCTGCTGTGACACTTGGGTTCTGCCCATTCATCCAGGCCAGGGCTTTATTTTGCACAAAAGTTCAGTATGAGCCAAAGGGGCCCAGTGACCATAGCTCAGTCATGTGGATGCTGACCTGTGGTCAGTGCTCACAGGACCTGTAGTCCTATCCCGTCCCAGGCCAGCTGCAGGAGCAGGTATCGCGCCAGCCCCCTCCTCTCTTTCCTACACCAAGCTTCCTTTTCCCAAATTCTCACCCATGGGCCCCAGAGAAATGTAAAAATACTATGTCTATGAGACAGTCCTTGAGACATGGTGACTTTCCCCAGTTTGAGAGATCAAGGGTCATGTGCACCAGTTATCTGGAAGTCTGAGCTCGGAGTAGCTGGGTTTTCTGCAGTCCCACAACAACCTCTTCACGTCCCTAAAAGGTACAGGAACTCCAGACTGACCACCACCCTCTAAGATACCGGTGGGATGAAAGCAGAAGCCTGGGGGGGGGGGGAGGCTCGACGTTCATCATCCAAGACTTGGCCAGGAGGGCTGCAGCGCGCGCCTGGGCGGCAGCACCAAAACAAAACAGGAACCGGCAGCCGAGAGAGGTGCGCTGTGCACCAGAGGAGGGTGCAGGACTCACAGCTCGCCCGCCTTGCCCGAGCCGACAGTTAACTACGCTGGAGCGCCCACCCACTCCTCTGCGCTTGCGCTGGAGCCTCCGCGCCCGCCTCTCGGACCACATTGCTCTGCGCGTGCGCAGGGGCCGCACCACCGCTCTCTACACTGCCCTGGGCTCACTTCTCTGCGTGTGTGGGGACCGCAGCGTGTTACACCCAAGGATATGGTGCAGTGGGGTTGGGTCCTTTGTGTTCTGCACGGTTCTCGCCTTTCACACGGAAGCCATTAAATTACGTTTTAAAATAAATACCCGGAGCCAGGCACTCATCTGTAATCCCAGGAACTCAGAGGCTGAAACAGGAGGTCACAAGGTCAAGGCCAGCCTCAGCAACTTATTGAAGCCCTAAGCAACTCAGCGAGACCCTGTCTCCAAATAAAAACCAATAATAATAAAAATGGGTGGAACTGTGTGGTTAAGTGGTAAGATGTCCCTGGGTTAAATCCCCAATGCCACAAATAAATAAATGCTCCGAGTCCCCCTATGTCCTCAAGCACTTTAACCTTTTCACTCCCCTCCCTTTCTGGACCTGGCAGCACCCATTGTTCGTGCAGTGCAAAAGCCATGAACAGCAAACCCTGCCCGCCTGCGCTGTTTGGGTTGTCAGGGTGCCAGCCTGAGCCAGAGCTGTTCAGGATGACTGGGGTCCAGGGTGACAAGGGATGTCCTACAAGTCCAGGTTGAATGCCTCCCAGACTGAACTGTGCAGGGCTCTGGGGATCTGGGAGAAGGGATGCAGAAGGTCAAGGGTGAGGGAACATGATATGGTAAGGGGAAAAATTGGGGAGAGGCAGGGAGGAGGGGAAGAGTTTCCTGAAGGATGCAGCAGTTACCAGAGGACAGCTCACTGGCAGGGTCACAACAGAAGGGCCCTAAGGGGTCCTGTGCACTTGCAGATAGGGACACAGGTCCTGGGGGCTTCAACCCAGCTGTTGGGCTGGTGGCAGAGGAAAGTGCACAAAGTAAGCTGGGGTACATGGGAATTTACCCCTGTGGCCCTGCTCCCAGGCCAAGGGGTCAGTATCTTGACACATTTGTCACCGTCTAGAGGCTAGGCTGGGTGGGAGGCAGAGCCAGAGAAGGACAGGCAGAGACCTCCTCATGGAGAGACTAGAGAAGGCCACAGGGCTTTGGTAGCAGGTGAGTTTAGGAGATTACCTGGAACTGTCCAAATCTCCCAAACCCCTCCCCCAACAGCCTAGTCCTCACTCATTGTATTTCTTGAGATTTAGGGTGCATGGGCAGTGGGAGGGGGATCCTATTAAGGAAATCTCTGTTAAGAAAATAAAAATACTCAGATGCTGTTGAAGATGGTGACGCTGATATTCCTCAAGCAGAGCCGCAGTGGCTCCTGCAGTAAGAGGTTATAGCTGTAGTGGGGGTCACTGACAGGAAATATGGGGGTTCTGGTAAACAGGGTTTAATGCAGGTGGGTGAGGCATTGGATCAGATGTTAGGGGTGCAAGATGTTCAGGAGACTGGCCCAGCAGGATTCCTGCTGAACCTGGACTGAACCGGCCAAGGTCAAGAACTGGTTGGGAAGACACAGAAGAGTCCTGACCCACTTGTTACCCAAACAGGGAGTCTGCAACCTTTCATGGGGCAGGAGTGAGATATTCATGAATGACAGCAAATACAGGTCAAGGAATCATGGCCAAGCCAATAGCCCAGTGTTTAAAATGAGAATGAACAGGCTGGGCCCAGGAGAAGAGGTTGGGGACATTTAAACTCATCCTGCACTATAGGGTGGGCAATGTTTGACCAATCTAGATAGGTACCAAACCCAGAATGCTACTGGAATGTGTATTATAATTTGGGTTTTTATTATATTTCTACTTGGCCCATCTCTCTTAATAATTGGCAATTATAGCCACAGCGGTTTTGGCTAATCAAGATTTATAGTACACTAAGATTTTATTGGCCAATTAGAATCAATTACAATACTGGAGTATTTGACAATGTTGTTATGGAATTTCCACTGTCGAAAATAGAGAATGAAATCAAGGTCATGTGACAGTGACATAGCCTATCTGTCATCTGTAACTCAATGGCCCTGGGCAGAAGGACTCCTGCTTCCTCAACCACTCACTGTTCTGGGGAGTCGGCAGCCTCTCAAAGGGTAAGGGGGCAACACACAGACAGGACATCCACAGAATCCTTCAGCACAGCTTTTCAATATCCACCCAATGGCCAGGGCCCCAGGTGCCCAGTGGGCAGCACACCTTCAGAACCAACTTATCTGAATTATTTATGCATAGTTTTTCCCAGCTGGGAAGGCTGCTTATAGGCTTATTTATTTTTAGACAACTGCACACTGTCTTACAGATTTTTTAAAAACCTATTGAATAATTCCTGGGAATACTGTAGAAGGGACACAAGAAAATGACCTTCGTCTTGACACAGGTTCCAGAGTCCCCTCCTCTGAGCTCCACTAAGACAAGGTGAGAGTGGAAACCAGTGTATTTTTAGATGAAACCTCCTTGGGAAACATTTTCTACTTTATATTTTATCAATAATCCCTAGCTAATGTTTTAAACCAATATTTATAACACTGCCTAAAAGCTTTGGGATAAATGGATTTTAATAAAGAAATGCTATTTTACCGTGCCTCATCATAAGAGGGTCTTGGGAAATAGGAGACCAATAAATGAGAAGTATACCACCAGGGAAGAGAGAACCACAGAGGGGTGAGCAGACAGAAATGTGCAGACATCTGCACTGATGCAGCCCAAGAGATGGGGACTCGGCTGTCTTCCCCTCACATGTCCAGTGGCTTCAGTGCTAGGGGTACAGCAATTTGTCTATTGCTGTCCTTTGTAACTTAAAATCAACATGCCTATCTCTGTTTCTTGTTGTATCCATTTCTGAGTTTTTCTGATGGTCCCTGCTCTATAATGGGAGCTCACTCCCCTCCCTCCTTCCAAATCCCATCAGATGATTATTTTCATTTTGTATAGCTGATAAGCTATGACTGTGGCCCTGTAGCCATCTCCATCAGTCCACATTTGTAAGAAGAATGTGCAACAGGCCACGCCCTCTGCCAGGACAGCAAGCGTCTCCCCACAGCCATCTGAAGAGACATACCCAGCAAGAGGTTTTTGTTTTTGTAAATACTCTGTTATTTCTCAGAAGTCATGGCACATTTAGGATTTTTTTTTATATTTATACTAAGACATTTTTATTTCTGGCGGTTTATAATTGCTCTTGTTTTAATCTTTCTGATAAAAGTGTATCAGTCTGTTTGGGCTGCTGTAACAAAATGCCTTGGACTTATAAACAACAGAAGTCTACTTCTTACAATTCTGGGGTCAGAAGTGCCAGAGCAAATCTCTGGCAGATTCCAAGTCTATGGGACCACAATTCACCAAAGAAGACACCTGGCCAATTTCCCTTTCTGTTTTGTCTCTGTGTTACCCATTTATGAAACTGGTAAGTGAGTACAACTCCCAGTGTTTGGGGGAACCACCCATCCTGCAAACAGCCAGGGCTCCCAACAGATTCAGGAGTCTGCAGGAAACATAAGAAGAATCAGCTGGTTATATGGAACTTATAAAAAAGGGACTTGCATACATACATTTTGTCCCTGAGATTCTGCTGCTAAATGTTTACCAGCACAGTATATCCATGGACTATTTTTACCCCATGGGTAAATCTTTATTCCATATTATGCCCAAAACTGGCAGTTTTTGTATCTGCAGTTATGCAAAATTCAGCTATTAATTATTCATCCAATTGGTTTCTAAGGAGATTTCTTGAATTCATGATACACCCTGATTTACAAAGTTGGGGGGATTTTCAGTGGTTGTGTTTAACTCTTTTCATAATTGTGACAAATTATTGAGCTTAGATGTCACCTAGAAGATTGGACCCTCCCAGAAGCCCTGCAGGCAGGTCAGCACCTGCAAAGACCCAGAGGGCTGAGGCACTGACGGTCTTGCAGGTCACACAACATACCCTGGAGACAGCCAGGCATCATTTACATACACAGAGGCAACCAGGAAGCCATTGATAAAACCAAGCCTCTTATTTTAAAAGTACAATTAACCCGAAAACTGCACATTGAGTGACTTTGTTTCTGAAGCTTTGGGCCAAAACTGGCACTTGGACAGAAGATTCTGTCCTCAGCAGTCAACTAACCACCCTGGCCAGGTGCACACCAAGTGAGATCCACCTTCCCTATCAAATCACCACCCAGGTCACTTGGCATCCTTTTGCCTCAGGGGAGGTCTTTTGCTGATGCACCAAGTGGCATTTTCTGGACATCAGAGTCAATAGTTTTTCTGGGTGGTCAAGTCTCCAAATGCCTGCCCTTGAGATGTGCAGGCATCACTAAGAGACTGATTTTTTCGTAACTGAGAGACTGATCTTCTCGTAACTGAGTGCCTTATCTTTCCCAGGATTGTGTTAAAGTGAGTTTGAACTCTCTGGTCCATCTTGAAGAGACATTATAGGGGGCAGGGGTGGAGTCCTGGGCTTTTCAGCCACCTGCCTGGTTCCTGGGTTAAACTGGGAACTTAACACACTAAGAAGTCTTTGAGGGGCTGGGATTGTGGCTCAGCGGTAGAGCACTCCCCTAGCATGGGCTGGACTGGATTCGATCCTCAGCACCACATAAAAATAAAGGCATTGTGTTGTGTCCATCTACACCTAAAAAATAAACATTAAAAAAAAAAAAGAGGTCTTTGAATTGGGAAAAGTCCCTGCACCTACAGCTAGAGGCTTGCAGCTGTGCTCTTTTCAAGTAAAAACTGAGGCTTAAGTGTATTTGAACCTTCTCAAACTAAAACCCCACAGACTAAACCCTCCTTGCCTGGGAAGAGAGGACCTGCTCTCCTGGCAGGTACAGGGCATTGGCTTTGGTTCATGAAGGGCTCCAACAGCTCCCTCCTTCCGGGTTGCTCCATACTCCAGAAGCCCCTGGAAACAGGGAGAGGTGACTGCCATCTACTGCCATCTACTTGGCTTTTTGGACCCAGCTTCAGTGCTGATGAGGAGTGATGAGAAGGGTCTGTCACTAGTATCCTCATTA